AGTTCAACTACATTTCCATATAAATCGTGTTTTCAAAAGCAGGATATATATATGTATATATGTAGACCTAGCCTATATGTATACAATTTTAGAAAAGTAAAAATCCACATCCAATCCATGTGTCACGTTGTGCATTGAAACAAATTCATATTGTTGTGACCTGTGCTATAGACTTCTACCCAGAAGATAGCTGATGCGACTGCTCCTGTTGACATGGCATTGTTTTCTTCTCTCTATCCTTGAGGACAAAGATAACTTGTGAAATTCCTGCTGGGTGCCTTTGGGGCTTGCTGGTACGAGAGCTAGGGGACAGCTTGTGACGTGGATGGTCAGGACAGGTTTTTATTTTTTCATTGACCAGCAGCGACAGGTGATAAGCACATAAGAAACCACTGCTGTATGTATATACTGTGCAATGTTGGATACTATATCATTTATATATCAAAATAAGCAAATAACTGCACATAACTCAACTTTCATACTGTGAATGATAATGAGTTAGCTGCCAAGGATAACAGCATCCAGTAGCTTTCTGAAAGATGTAATATGATCCGACAGAGAATTTATGCAAGTGTATTGGATCAATCTGCTACAAATTGCATCCCATAAACTGTGTTGGCCAGTTATAAAACTTTGACCCCAGCTGTCTTCTTCTGTCGATCACATCTCATCCCACAAGGGATGTTCCTGCTTGCATCCTTCCTAGAAGTCTCATCTTCTTTACTTATCCCTCAGACTATTCCAGGATCTAGCAGACCATCCATTAAAGGTCTCATTCCCAGCTGTCTACAGTCCTTGTGTCTTTGACTTTTACAGTCACATGAATGCACAAGGGAAAGTGTGAGGCACCTTGCCTCACTTAAGTTTGAAACTGGAGCCATCAAAGCTATTGTTAGCATTTGTTCCCTTGTTCTTTTGAAGGTCACTTCTAAGGGGGTGTTGAGTTTTGGCAGATGCTTACAGGAGTTGATGGGTCTCTTGCCTCGTCTTCTCTCCACTCATTCAGACTATGGACCTCTTTGTGGACTCATATCTCTTGTCTTCTGATGAGGCAATGATCAGGATATGGCAAAATAATAGAAAGGTACTGTTGACCATTTAAAGCTATTGTCTATTTTTTTTCTAATCCTTTGGAAAACATAGATTTTGAAAGGTTTAGATATTTATTTTTGCCATTAAATACTTTAACATCAATATCCTGTTTTGACTGTACTCTAAAATACACAGTGTCCAGATTATCTGCTGCAGGCATCTGTCTTAATTCTATGTTCCAAATGGCCCTCCCTCATCTGGCTTTATATGTCAATACTTACTACAGAAAAGTGACCTCCACAACTGATATGAAGGTTAGTGGCTTTAACATTCCTTCTATAGATCTTCAGACATTAGATATTTATGTAAAAGAAGTGGATGCCCTATGATGCCCATATTTCTGTTGAAATACAACTTGTTGAAGGGGTAGAAGGCTGTTTCAATTCTTGCTACCATACATGACAATAATACAATAGGGGATGCAAGATTGATAATTAGTGAGGTTCTTGTTTTATTATGTTGTAGATATCATGATAGGTGTTCAACACTTTAAGTGTTCAAACTTCTGTCAAAATATGAGTCACAATTTTTCAGGATGCTTTAATATTGTTTCCCAACTCTCTCTCCAATAATAATACACAAAAAAAATATTATTATGCTAAAGAACTGCAAATCAAATTGGAATGTGCTGCACTAGAGACTAGACATTAGTCTCATAAGTAATTTGTTAGGTGGCTTCTAAATTCTAAAAAACATCATTGCACTTTAATTCCCAAGAATGTATTATAGTAAGCATGATAGGGGTTAGGATAGGTTGTCAGTGTGTAACCAAACTGAAATGGGATGTGTGAGTGCCCTCTGCTGATCATGTAAATGAATGACATTTCAACATGAGGTGGAAAAACTTAAAAGACTAAAACTCTATCTATGGTTTATAACAAATAGAATAATTTATGTTTTCCCTTACAGAGAATTAGTTTGCAGCAAAAATATCATTGTGTAAAAAGTTTACAAAAGAACCCATATAATAAACTAGCCTGGGTGAACATGGTATTACACTGTCTTCAGTCAAGTAGACATTTTATTTCATATACATTTTATTTCAAGCAACGAGAGACAATACACCCATGTTTATTTGCATTATTTTTATTAATTTACTTTTTTGGCAGTAATAAGAATTCATATATGAATTATTGGGTCTTATTTTATTTAGTTGATGAGAAAATGATCAGTCAATATTGAAATTCAACTGAATTCT